TCCACAAGAACATTATTTCACGGTTAGCAGGTATTTACATGAGCTGCAGCTGGAGCATATATCTCTACATGGATGGTAGCTAGCCCGGCAAGCCAGACCCACGCACGATGTTCCGAAAAACGCTCTTTCAATGTTTCAAACACTACCCCTTTAGACATATAACTAGTCACGCAGTAATGAAAGCGTGAAAGTTTAGATCGCCAGGATTCAAGACAACTGAGCTGTCGTTCTCAGTTTGCTACTTAGCTTTAGCTTGCTAAAATGCCTACATAGCTTCAAAGTCTTCCCTTTACCCACGTATTCTTATCAGACATCTTATCAGAAAGATGTTTTGTACACATCGCCAAGTGTCCATGCTTATGAAATATAATTTTCTCCAAAGCGTCTAAAGCTAGCAGGCTACCATCTATTGCTAACGATAACATGTTAACCACAGTTGGCATGAGCTTTCTAAAATAGAAAGTAACGTTACATTAATGTGTTTACTTACCTTAATGTCATTGTGGAATGCCTTGAGATGTCTTTTAAGGTTTTAAGGTTTGTTGTGGAGGTTTTATTCCCGATATTTTGTGGCTGCATTTCTCCGGCATCTGTGCGCCCGAATGGGAGACTCAGGAAAACAGAAATACTGCTTAATAATAATAACGCGATTAAATGAGAGGAAATAACATCTCGTCTCGTTTTCATCAACGAAAATGAAGAGACATTTTAGTATAGTTTTTATTTTGTAAACCAAATTTAGTCTCGTTTTTATTTGTCAACAATATTACATGATATATTTCGTTATAGTTATCGTCACATGGCCAGCATTTACATTGCGTCTCGTCTCTGTCACGTCAAAAAGGTTCGTTGACGAAGATATTTCGTCATAAATTTCGTTGGTGAAAACAGCATCTGCAATATTCTATGCGGTGACCTGCTGGGGATGCGGGAGCTCAGAGAGGGACAGGAAGAGACTGAACAAGCTGGTCAGGAGTGCTGATTCTGTCCTGGGCTGCTCTTTAGACTCCATTGAGTCCATTTATATCCATCATGGACAATCCCTCTCACCCCCTGCATGTGACAGAGGGAGAATCACGCAGATCTTTCAGCAACAGACCACTACATCCAGCGTGTAAGAAGGAAGGCTTCCGCAGACCTTTCATTCTCTCTGCTGTTAGACTTTGTAACACATCAGTGAGCAGTGTGAAAAGGTCACAATTTTGTCCACAATTTTAGTATATACAACTAGAATATCTGTATACGTTTCATTCATCTGTGTAATTACTCTCGTGCAATTCCCCTACTGACTGTCCACTATGCAAGATTGTCCTTGCGCTGTGCAATATCCACTGTATATATGCAACTTGTATCTTTATATCCACTCCGTGAAATGTCTGTATATGTATCATCTATGCAACTACACATGTTTTTCATTGTTTGTCTTATTTCTATTTGGTTATAGTTTTTTGCTTTTGCTGCTTTAGTATCAAGTAAATTTCATGTGCTCTGTCCCACCCCACAACTACAAAAAAGGAAGTTGCAACATCTTTAGAACTAACGATTTCTCTCTCCAAAGTCAGTATCTCCGGGTTTTGTCTGCCTTCTTGTTCAGTTCTCAAGGTAAGACGGAGAATATTTTAGCAAAATGATATCAGTTACTTTAGTAGGAGTTCATGATTTTTAATTACAGGACTAGATGTGTGACATGCTGAAGACCTAAATAAAAATTATGTTAAAAATATCTATATTTCAAATCAGTATAATTAGCCACATAAGAATGTTACTATCTCTTTGCCTGAGTGTCTCAGTGTTTCTCTGTAAGCTGTTTTGTGCAGGAATTCTTACTTACACAGTACTTTGTTACATTAGTTACTGAATCCACCAATACAGTACCATAATAGTAATAAACACAGGGCTTGTTTCCTTCATGATGTACGTGTTACACATACTTCCTGCTCCTGGAGAACTTGCAGGAACTGTCTGACCAGCCTCAGCGGAGAGTACAAAATGGAATCTTATCCATTTATTTCCTTATTTTAAGCGCAATTGACCTCTAAAATAGAAAAAAAACTAAATAAATTTCCCTTTCACTTCTACATTTATTTTTTAAATGTGGCCAGTATCAGATTCCAGTGTGAACTGGTGACAGTCCTGAAGTGACCCACATGTGCAGAAGAACAATAACACACAGCATGATTTTAATGGAACAGTAGCTGCCAGTTCTGTATGGAGGTGTGTGTGAATGCGGAATCGGAGCCGGGAGTTACACTGTAACAAATAATGTTGACTTTAAGTTGTTTCAGTGTATTATTTGGAGTGTACCTAACTTGAGTGCACTGAAGTTGATATGCACTGTAATAAACAAAAAATGTTGTTTCAAAAAAAATGTTACTGTGCTGCCTTAAAATTTTAAGTTACATTTGGTCACCTGTGGCATAAAAGTGAATGAAATGTATGGTTTTGGGGAAAATGATAAAACAGTGAGAATTTACTGCTAAACAGCTCTATTCAATCGGTCATGTCTTCTTAACCACAAGGCCAAGACTGGTAATCAAAATGGCCTCTCAGCAGGGGTGTTAGTGCAAAGGCAGTGCTCTTTTCTGAAGCTCTTTTCTGAAGCACGTTTCTGAAGCACATGGAAGGTACTTACACCAGTCTGGAGACATTTAATAAATCTCCAAGAGTCTTTGATTCAAAGACAGCATAAAATCACAAGTAAGGCAAGAGATAAGAAGAACAAATTTCTCTTTTGATTGCAGGAAGACAGTTCCCCAATTTTATAGAACAATCTGAGCTTACTGACTAGATTAAGCAATTGCTTTGTCAACCATGGCAACTTGGGCTCATAACAATTTGTAAAAAAACTCAACATGCTGCATCTTTTATAATGTACTGACCACAGTGGAGATTCATTTAGAGGGTTGGAGGTGTTCGAGTTTGCATGGTCCAACAGCCTGTAACAACACAAGCAAGCCCTACATAGGGCATTCGGCTTCAAACATTTCCAAATGGCTCACAAATTACTAATGCAAACACAATGTGCAAACACCCTGAATGTTTTAGAATTAATCAATGAAGAGAAGTCAAAAACAACAATAATTACCAAAACCAAACTGACCACTTGTCCACTGGGCCCAATCCCCACTCCAATTCTTAAAGAATAATTGGAAGTTCTGGCAAAACCTATAACTGCCACAATGAATACATCCCTGTCTTCAGGCGATGTCCTTGGCCAATTTAAAGTAGCAGTAATCAGACCACCACTGAAGGAACCAAGTTTGGATCTATAAGAGCTCAGTTACTTGAGCTCTTGGCCAGAGGCTTGTGAGACCAAAAGCCCAGGGCAGAGAGTGAAGGTGATGGTCTGAAACTGAAAGTCAATGTGCTTACTCCCTCTCCACCTCCCAGGCCCTCATAAAGGCAGTGCAGGCTCCCAGGGCCCGGGTGAACCCCCCCCAAAAAAAAAGACAGCACCTTTGGACTCATGCCCATCGACACGCTGGTGTAAGCTTCTCAGAAAGTCAAACCTCTCTCACTGTGGCTCTTTCATATTGTGTCCATTATAATCCAGGCATTTACCTAAAACAGTCATTCTCAAAATTTTTGGATCAGGCACCACTTTGGATCCAGCTGAACCAGCCAAGTACCACACGGGTGAACACGTCACATTGACAAAATACCAGGGTCTTCTCGCCTACCACCAGGGGGCGCTCCGGGTACCACAAGCGCCACAGTGTCAGAATCAAGTTCAAGTTTATTGTCATATGTACAAAGTACAGCGTACAGAGCACAATGAAATTCTTACTTGAAAACCCCTCCCTCACAGACAAAACATAGGACATAATACACAGAAGACATAGAAGACAAAGCTAAGTTACAGTGAGCTAAGAGTTCTCTCTTTTGAACCTCTGCTCTGTGACGAGATCCTGGGTTGCTATCCCTTACAATGCCTTTTGAAGTTAGCGTTCTGTAGACACATTGAATGAGTCACCCAAGAATTCACTGATTCAGAGCACCACCCTATCCTGCCTTTTCTGGGTGAGGTAGTCTTCCAGGACAAGCAGTGATGCAAACCTCACTTTGAGGGCTTGTGTGATGACGACGATGGAGGAAGTTTCCCTTTTTCCACAGGGACTCCTCGAAACCGGCATAACTTTGCAGAGAGACTGAGGCTCTTTCTGAACGCTGTCAGCCTTTTGTGGCTCGTACAATAGGCTGACAGTCCTCTTTATCATGATTGATGTAACTTCTGGGTTTTAAAAAACTATTATGTCATTATTGATTCCCTTAATTTTTATAATTCAGGGTGTGACAATACAGAACCTGATGGTTACCTGAGTGCTGGGTCAGCATATGACTGTAAAAACACTCAAGAGTCACCACAGCGGCTGACATCCTCTGGCCGTACGTGTTTTTTATTGTAAAGATTACTTCAGGCTTCGAGGGAGTCAGACATCTGAGCAAACAGCGCGAGTAGCTGCCGATGGGCAAACAAACTGTATCGTGGTTTTCATGAAACAATGAAAATGAAAACAGAAGGAGGCAGAAATTTGGGTAGCAATACTGATAAGAAGAGCCGTAGCCTTGAAGTCAACACTGCGGGGGGGACCAAGGTCGTAATTATATATATTGAGGGGACAGACTGAGCAAATTTTATTTTCTTTAGCTTAGTTTCTCTAATCCTGCTTCATTTGTATCCCACTGTTGTGTTTTACGTCACAGTGTCACAAAATAACATTTCACTGTAAGTCATACCATGTATGATTGTTATGTGACAAAATTAAATTTGAATTATTAGCAGTTAGCAAGCAGTAAGGTTAGGGTTAAAAGCCCATTTTCCTGAGGAAATGTAATTAAATTGTATATGGAGCTAAGAGTTCTCTCTTTTGAACCTCTGCTCTGTGACGAGATCCTGGGTTGCTGTCCCTTACAATGCCTTTTGAAGTTAGCGTTCTGTAGACACATTGAGTGAGTCACCCAAGAATGATGCCTGAGTCTGCAGAAATGGCCACAGGCTTCCAAGCGCCTCACGACAAGCAGTGGAATACGATGAAAAACACTTAGGAGTGTATTGTTTCATGGTCTTCAGACAGACTGGGATCAGCGTGAATCAGTGAGGTGCGTAATACTCTTAGCTGACATTCAGGGGTAATGTTCTGAAGCACAAACGTCTCATGCTCAAAGAAACCAGTCATCAGACTCATCATGGAACATTTTTTACAATTTATTTGGCAGATACATTTATCCAAAGCAACGTACAGTCGACCCTTCCACATCGTGGGGGCTAGGAGCACAGGCCCCCCCAATCTGGAAAAATCACGTACGTTTTTTCGGTCCCCCTGGTTCCCTTGACGAGCGAAGCGAAATGATACGAGAAATGCAAGATACAAAGATCACTGTGAGATCACTGCAGAGTCACTGTGAGATCACTGCAAAGTCATTGTGAGATATTATGTGAGAGACTTGGTGTCGTCTAAACCAGCACTGTACATGTATTCCTCCACAAGGCTGTGTGCCAACCCCACTACTCTATGCCCTGTATACCTATGACTGCACTCCCACCCATCTCACAAACACCATCAACAAATTCATGGATGTCACCAAGGTTATAGGGCTCATCTCAGGAGGAAATAAGTCAGTCTACAGAGATGAGGTTCAGAAACTGATAGGATGGAGTTCAACAAACAACCTGGTGCTAAATACCACAAAGACAAAGGAAGTCGGAAGCACAGGTGATCATTCCCCACTTTACATCAATGCAGTGTGTGTGGAAAGGGACCAGTCCATCACATTCCTGAGGATACACATCTCTGAGAAGCTCTCCTGGTCTACCAACACATTGACACTTGCTAAGAAGGCAGAGCAGCGACTCCACTTTCTGAGAGTACTCAGGAAAAACAAGCTGGATCAGAAGCTGCTTGTGGCCTTTGATCGCTCCACCATCAGATACATCCTGGCGTACTGCATTACAGTGTGGTATGCTGGCGTACTGCATTACAGTGAGGTATGCTGGC